ACTGAGTTTTGAGAAAAAGTTTAAAGGTTCTATTTCATAAAGACTTAGGAGTTTCTAAAACATGATCAGTTTGACAATCGAGTAAGCCATCAATGTTTAAGCAGTATGGTATCTAGTTATGCCATCAATGTTTTTGCAATATGACTTCCCGAGTCATCAATGATCATATCACAATATGATTTTGATATATTTTTTTAGAAAGAGTTTTCAAATATGAATTGAGTAAAAGTATAAGGGAAGTAAGTATTCCCAAAGGTATCCATTTCTACATTGATAGAAGAGAAAAATTGATTTCTAAATGAGTTATGAGTTCAAAAGATATTGCAGATACTTCTTTTAAGAGGGTAGTTTGAGCAATTAGCTCAAACCAGAGGAGGAGTATGTTTTTAAACATTGAGAATGAGTATATATTATTTTGGGAGTAGTATGGAGCACTGAGTTGGGTTAGAGTGTTTTATAACTCAGAAGTCCCATAAAACTATATAGCCAATGTAGGATAGGATATCATTGATTCTTCATGCGACTCCTCACCGCCTCTGAGAAGGCATATAGTTGGATCCATAGTCACGATATCATCTTATACCCCAACAAGGTATAGGATGTCCCCTTGCAACGTACGATGAGACGTTGTATCATTGTCAGGCTCATGGTAATGGTTGTTGGTTAGAGGCTCCCCACAAGTAAAGTATATTATTTTCATAATGCTTTCATTGTATATTTTATTGTAAAGCTTAAATAGTTTTCACTTCATGTTCATGTATTGATTCAGTTGAGTTGCTTTCAGTCATTCAATTCAATTATTTGTTTACTCAACCATATTACATACTCGTACATTTCATGTATTGATGCCATTCGACATGCATCCTTTTATGATGCAGTTATAGATTTTCAGGATTATCAACATGCGCTTCGTTGAGATCACTCTACACTCCAGTTAGCTTTGGTGAGCCTCCTTGTATTCCAGAGGGCTTCACAGTTACTTTTCAGTTAGTAGTTTTGAGGTGTCGTGGGTCTTGTCCCGACATCCTTCATCAATAGTAGAGGCTTCATAGATAGACAATTTTGGAGAGTCTTTCAGTTTCAGATATTTTATTTGAAATTTATGTTTCATACTTAGTATATTAAGCGAAGTTTTGAGATTCAATAAACTGTTTTTAAACTTTTTTTTCAATTTGATGCTTATGTATGCTTGAATTAGTCTTCCGCTTATAATCAGTCAGGATAAGGGTTCGCTTGGGGACCAACAATGGTTCTTGAGTACTGGCCACGTCCAGGGTGTAGGCTCGGGTCGTGACAATTATACCGTTGGTTGAGGGTAAAACGGTGGATTCAAGTTCCATCGCGCCAAAAGGGTAAAACATCAGGTTAAAATCTGGATACACCATAATGAAAATTGATTAAGGGTAAGACGGTAGATTCATGTTTTATCGCACCAAGAGGGTAAGACATCAAATTGAGTTTTGATGCACCATGATGATAAGGATTGGGTTCGAGCCCCATGGAATTATGGCCTAACACGCCTTATATGGGTAAGACATTGAGTTTGAGTCTCAATGCACCATAGTGATGATATAATAATAACTAAGGCTTTGATGAAAAGTCATGAAATTCATCCCATTGAATTTAGTCCATTCCATGAAGCGAATGTGGTAGTTAAACATGATAAGTTTGAAATCCTTCCAATTGCTTCATTCTATCGTATTAGTCCATTCCATGAAGCGAATGTGGTGGCAGTGAATAATAAGTCTGAAAGATGAAAATTGATTGAATGTATGAATAAGGGAGTTGATGGACAAAATTATTATAGTCATCATTGTGGTAATTATAAAAGGAAGAACACTGTGGGTTCTTCAAATAGTCCTTTAAAATGTGAAGGTAATTCTTATCATCATAATGGTATGAAAGGTCATTGGACCCGTGATCGTTGTGCAACCTAATAATTTGATAAATTTATAAAAATCCTTTATCAGAAGAAAGAAGATAAAATGGTGGTACACTTGACCTTTCAAAGTAATGTTGAGGTGGGTCATGCAAAAATGAAGAATTTCAAAGGCATGACAATGTGCTTATAATGCAAATTTATGAAGCACATGTAAATTATTAGCTCATTCCTTGAAGAGAGTGTGACTTGTGATAAGCATCACGAATGCTCGACCATTCTGAAAGAGAATGGGTCAAGATATGATAAAATCATTATGAATTGGATATATACCAGATTTCACCTATATGTGAGGTTGAGAAAAATAAATATATGCCACAACTCACCTCTATGGGAGGTTTGAGAAAAATAAAGATCAGTTGGCATGGTCGGTTGCCCATTCCGGTCCAATGTGATGCAAAAGTAATTGAGAATTCACATGGCTTATATGATGAAGAAATAAAAGATTTTTCAAAAATTCTCATGATAAAATGATCATTGTATCATTATACCAGCTAAGGTTGAGATTATATTTCCTGAGGTTTTGGAACATATAAAAAGGTGAATATGAACCCGTTCACCTGTCATATGGACCGTTTGCAACTATATGATATTTGCATCTATGAGTTGGTCCCATGTGCTTTGTTTGTCAACTTACAAATTGATTTTTCTAAGGTTGTTTGCTCAAATTCTTAAATTAAGAGCATAGTTCCAAATTATGAAATTTTGTTGATAATGCTGGTTGGTTTAGTAGAAATTGTATGCCTCCAATTATAACTAAATCATGGGTTTGAGAACAAAACTCCCAAATAAGATTTGACATGATATGGGTTTATTTAACATGTAGCAACACATGTATGCATCAAACAAACAAGATTTCCACATCATAATTGGTTCAGGGTCAGGAACCAAATCCACCGCGCACAAAGATGGACCCCCAAGTGAGGTTGGGGTGAAAGTTAGATTTTCTAACATTAGGGGGGAAAACGATTGACATCTGAAAATTATTAGATGAATTATCTAGATCCTCGTTAAAAATGTGAACTTGAAGTTCAAGAGATAATTCATTTGCATAATGTTGCAAATTAATTGCAAGATGAATTTATTGACCCTATGTTATAATTCAGTTGCAAATGTTCCAATGAGAAGTCCTTAAGAGATAGAGTCTATGGTACGCCTGAAGCGTGATAGATCAATCGATTCCAAAAGAAAACTTCTTAAGGAAGGAGATGAGAAAATGATCAAGATGGTCATGATAATGAGTCAAATGCTTTAAAAGGAGCACAATGACATAACACTTCATAAAACCTTGACAAAGGTTCAGGTACCTAAAATGATGAAATATGAAAAGATCTCGATAAGTTATGTCATATTGAAATCGAGTCAAAAGACCGTCGACGGTATCTTTGATATGAAGTAGCGCTCAATGCCACAGATGATGACGAGGATCTATAATTCAAATCTATCATATAATGTAGACAAATAAATGATTGGCCAAATGAAATGCACAATTCAAGTATATTATGTTTCACTTTGAAAAGTGACGTTTTAGACTTATAGTCCATGGATCAAGATATGATGCCAGTGAGGTACAAATAAATTATTGTGCGAAAGTATAACCGTAAAATATAAAGTATGGTTTATGCCTTGGGGCATACATGATTTTCGCAAAAGTCTTGACATTATTGAATAGAGATATATTCTCCTGTGGTGAATGCATGGAAGCTTTTTTCAGTCTGGCAGTATATGAAATGCTTGAATATGTGTAATGAATGATTGTCATGTCTATCTAGACGATGAAGGTTATATGAAAATCCTTGAAGGATTTAAAAAGTATTAAATCAATTCCATTGAGTACCCCAATGGTTGTGAGATTGCTTAACAGAAAGAAAGATCAATTTTGATCTCATGCAAATGATTGAAAAATATCATGTATTAGTACAATGAGTGCACATATAGATTATTGATTATGTAGATGTCGGGAACTGTGTGATTTTTCTTTGAAAAGAGATAGCCACCATGTATGAAGATAATGATGTATGTATAGGTCGATTGAAAGAAGGATGCATCAAAGGAGAATGAGAAAATTACATTTCACTAAAGTTCTTCTTCACACATGATCTTCAACAAAATGGTCAGATAGAAGTTCAAAAAATCTGTTCGAGTGATAATCTTATAGATTTATTCCCTAAGGCATTGCCAACATCAACATTTGAGAAGTTGAGATATAAGCGAGATATCAAGTAAAGCTTTCATGAGGGGGAGTGAAATACGCGTAGTACTCTTTTCCTTAACCATGATTTTGTCCCAATTGGGGTTTCCTGGTAAGATTTTTAATGAGGCAGCACTCAAGACGTATTATGAGATGTGTGTACTCTTTTTCCTTCATTAGACTTTTTCCCACTGAATTTTTTCAAGTAAGGTTTTAACGAGACACATGGGCTATGGACATCGAGTGTTATAAATCCATTGAATTGTGTGGATTGTCCATTAGATTTATTCAAGAGTTAATTAAATTCATATATGTATGCTTCCAAGGTGATAAGAACTTTTTTGGATAACTATGTATCTACTAGTTTGGTGACCTTTGGGAGTGATATCTCAACACTATAAATAGAGATATCATCCACCACTTGGGTGACACACTTGAATAGAACAAAAACTCTCTCCTTCATCTATACTTTTTGCCTTCTTCTCGTTATATACTTATATATCTGAAATTTTCCCTAAGTGGTTACTGAAAATTGTGCTTATACTTTATAAATTTTGTACTAGTTAAATTAATTTGTTTCAACTTTTATATTACTGTTTCTTTTCCTTCCCTTCTTTTCCACACTAGTCTAGGCAATTTAAACTACAACGTTTGGAAATGATTTCCCACCAAATTGAGTCACTTTTCCAACGTTCAAAATCGATCATTCATCTTCTCCAACTTCATTCTCTATTCATCAAAACAACAATTCATCACGACGAGTATCGTCTCTCCCAATTCATATCATTGTCTTCTTCAATATCTCTCCAATTCACCCGTACTATTTTCGATAATTCTCACATTATTCCATCAATCTTCGCATGGAACACAATGATGAGAGCATATTCCCAAGTAGAGTCTCTGAAGCTCTTTAAACAATATCAAGAGATTCGATTAAAACCAGATAGATTCACCTTTCCTATTGTGCTAAAGGTTTCTGGGCATTGTTTAATGATTGGAACAGGCGGATCGTTGCATTCGATGGCTGTGAAGTCGGGTTTTGGTTTAAATTTACATGTGAACAATACCCTTTTGAGAATGTATGCTGGATTTGGTGTGATCAGGTTTTGCAAGACAGGTGTTTGATGAAATGCTTGAGAGGGATATAGTTTCTTGGAGTTCAATGATGGATGCTTACGTGCATTGGTATGTATATTTGTTTAAGTTATTTGTCAAAAACACATATTAATTATTACTTTTATACGAATTTCACACCCCAATTATCACAATCTATGTATTATGGATCATATAGCCGACTTTAACTACTTGTGATTCAAGCATTATAGTAGTAACTGTTGTCTTATTATTTACAGTTTCTTCTTCTTTCTCTTTCTAAAAGATATTTCATGTATCTACTGATTACTTTGGAATCAGTACATTATTTATGATTTATGAACCCGGCAAGTGTATGAAGGCTGAGAGATTCTATAACATTATGTGGAAGTTGTTTAAGATGATTATTATAATGGGAGTGAATATAGTAGATTTTGAGCATGACAAGTCAAGTTTCGAGGAATTTGTAAGGGTTAATCGTCTTTTGATAGGCCTGACACATAATAGGTCACAATTTTTATGAACAATGCTAGCTTGTAACCTTGTTCGTTATCCTTAAGAAATTTGGTGCCATGGTAGTTATGGTTCTCTTGAGCAATATGTGTGATCTAATACTCTTGGTGAATTTTTTAAAATTCATCCCAGATGTCGATTGTGAATACTTGTTTTGTACCATAAGAAGAAACCAATATTACTATTACTTGGATATATTAGCTTGAATAAGGAGTTCCAAACTTGTTCACTAGTCTAACTTTTTCTTTTATTCCTTCTTGCTGCAATACTGCAATATATTGCTAAACGATGCCTAGGGTTCATATCTGAGAGGATCAATAAGCTTTTTAGCCTTTAAAATTGTGAAAGCTACATACACTCCTAAATGATCAAGGTTTAACAATGATGGAAATTTTCGGGGTTGGAATTTTTTCTTTTAAATTGGATAGGAGCATGTACTCCTGAAAAATAAGTGAGTAAAAATGAATAAAAATTTCATGGTTTAGATTTCGTTATTTATCTTGGAAAGGTCCCGATGATACTATTTAAAATGGGGAATTAACAAAGAAGGAAAACTTTCATGGTTGAGATGCGTGCAACACTCCCAGCCTCTTGTATTTAGGTGTGCTGTCTCACTGCTGTATTTGTTTACTTTTGCATACATCAGAGCATGTTAGTTTTTTTTTTTTTTGTAATTCTGGAATCTGTATGTACATTCATGTCTAATAAACCACTGAGCTTTGAAACCCAATTTTTGCAAACCAATCTTTGGACTTTTTACCTACAAAACTTTGGGAAAGAGGAAGCTAGATCGTGGGTCCAATGGTCATGAGTATTCTAAAATTAACAAGCTAATTCTAACACTGCTGCTGTTTAGTTATCCTGATTGCATATGGATGGATTCTCATGTCATATTCTGTCTGCAATTTAGACCTGAAAAATAAAGAGAAATCCTAAAATTAAGTTTCTTTTGAGATAAACTTCGAATTAAACGTTGAAAGGACAACAACTTTATAATGATACTATAGTTAGTTTGTCTTTCCCATGGTAGAGTGTAAGGGGCTTTGCATTTATAAATAGGAAATAGGGAGCAATAGACAAAATATAAGCAGGCCTGACTTTCTCCTGATGAAGTCTCCAAACATTTTGCTATTGTTCCTCATAGTTGAAGTAATGACAACGATTCTACTTGTTCTCCCTACAGGGTCTCCAACCGTTTTGTCAATACTTTCCCGTCTTATTTAATTTCATTTGATATCATAAAAGTGTGATTCAGGATGTCACCTAAGTGGATTCTATAAATTTCTTAAGTCAAGTTCCGCTTCATGTGATATGATCATTTTTTTCATATAGTGAATCAATTCTTTTATAGACGTAGAGAACATGAATAGTTTGTACCTGATCATATAGAAGGACCAGTTTAATGGGTTTTTATGTTCGCTTTTCATCCCTTTTTGGCATGCAAATGAATATTTGCTACCTTGACCTCTCTTTTTGTGTAAGAGGTCTATTAATATGATTGTCTTTCCTGCTTTCTTTTCCTGTTTAACTTTTACTGTGAGGTTTTTGCTTTCTGTCTGGCTTTTCAAAGTCATAATAGTCAATGTTTTCGTAGATATCTTAGTAACTTGCCTTCAGATGCTCTGCTCTTGTTCCAATGTATGAAGCTAGCAAATGAAAAGCCAAATTCTGTCACTTTGGTTAGGTTGCTGGGGCATGTACTCGTATCCTTAATATCAGATTAGGTAAATGTATTCATTCGCACATTCTTACCAGTGGTATTGAACTACATGTTGAGCTGGAAACAGCCCTCCTGGGCATGTATGCAAAATGTGGTCATATACAGCAAGCTTTCCAAATATTCAATTCGATGGATGCTAAAAATCTGCAGACCTGGACCATCATGATTTCTGGTCCTGCTGATCATGGACATGGAGAAGAAGCTGTGTCCTTGTTTGCCAGAATGGAACAATTTGGCTTTAGGCCGGATTGCTTATCATTTTCTGCAATCTTATATGCTTGTAGTCATATTGGCTTTGTTGATGCGGGCCATGAATATATTGAAAAAATGGCAAGTATTTATAACATTAGGCCAACTATGGAACATTACGGATGCATGGTGGATATGTTTGGACGTGCTGGAGAATTAGAAGAAGCTTATGATATTATAAGGAGCATACCTACAGAGCCTAATTCTGTGATATTGAGGAGTTTCATTAGTGCTTGTAAGCATCATGGTCGTAATCCTTGCGTAGAAGAAAATGTAAGGGAGATTCTCCTCAAAATAGAGCCTGATCTCGGATCAAACTATGTACTTGCATCTTGTTTGTCTTATCTTTTTGGTTATTGCAGCGATGCGAACAGCCTAAGATCGACTATGAAAGCAAAAGGGATAAAGAAATATCCTGGCAGCAGTTGGGTGCAGTCGCTTGATAGTCCTTCCGAAGGAAGCAGTTGAAGGATCTGGTAGTAATGTTTCTGTTTATGCCAATAGAAGAGGCAATTCAGATCACAGGAATGAAGGAATGGAGGCACTGTTACATTCCAAAGATGAGAGAACACTATCAATGGTGGAGGAAAATAAATTGCTTCTTTTTGGGTAATACCACCAGGCTGAGGTACAAGTTTAGGGGAACTGTTGCTTTGACCATTGGAACAGGGTCACACCGAAGTTCCTAACATTCTTTCATAATTTTGAATAACTTGAAAAATGAAGATTACATTGTGAGGTAATTTTGATTTGTAGCTCATGGGATATGACATTTGAGAGGAACTCCACAAATTGGTATACTTCTGGAAGAGGAAAAGCCGTGCTCTGTCAGAGCCACAAATTGGTATTCATCACGACCACTATCGTCTCTCCCAATTCATATCATTATCTTCTTCAATATCCCTCCAATTCACCCGTATCATTTTTGATTATTCTCACATTATTCAATCAATCTTCGCATGGAACACAATGATAAGAGCATATTCCCAAATAAAGTCTTTGAAGCTCTTTAAACAGTTTCAAAAAATTGGATTAAAACCAGATAAATTCACATGCCCTGTTGCGCTAAAGGTTTGTGGGCATTGTTTGATGATTGGAACTGGTGGATCATTGCATTCCATGGCTGTGAAGTCGGGTTTCGGTTCAGATTTACATGTGAACAATACACTTTTGAGAATGTATACAGGATTTGGTGTGATCAGGTTGGAAAGACTGGTGTTTGATGAAATGCTTCAGAGGGATATAGTTTCTTGGAGTTCAATGATGGCTACTTACGTTCATTGGTATGTATATTTGTTTCAGTTATTTGTCAAAAACACATGAGTTTTTTCTTTTATGCGAATTTCACACCCCAATTATCACAATCTATGTATTAGGGATCATATAGCTGACTTTAACTGCTTGTGATTCAAGCATTATAGTAGTAATTGTTGTCTTATTATTTACAGTTTCTTCTTCTTTCTCCTCCTAAAAGATATTTCATGTATCTACTGATTACTCTGGAATCAGTACATTATTTATGATTTATGAACACGGCAAGTGTGTAAAGGCTAGGAGATTCTATAGCATTATGTGGAAGTTTTATAAGATGATCATTATAATGGGAGTGAGTAGAATTACCCAAATCTTTAGTAGATTTTGAGTATGACAAGTTTACTACTTTGTGGAAACGAGTTCATGTATCGAGGAATTTGTAAGTTAAACGTCTTTTGATAGGTCTGACACATAAAAGATCTCAATTTTTATGAACAATGCTAGCTTGTAACCTTGTTCTTTATCCTTCAGAAATTTGGTGCCATGGTATTTGTGGTTATCTTGAGCAATATCTGTGATCTAATACTCTTGGTGAACTTTTTAAAATTCATCCCAGATGTCGATTGTGAATACTTGTTTTGTACCATAAGAAGAAACCAGCATTACTATTACATGGATATATTAGCTTGAATAAGGAGTTCCAAACTTGTTTTCTAGTCTAACTTTTTCTCTTTTTCCTTCTTGCTGCAATACTGCATTATATTGTTAAACGATGCCTAGGGTTCATATCTGAAAGGATCAATAAGCTGTTGAGCCTTTAAAATTGTGAAAGCTACATACACTCCTAGATGATCAGGGATTAACAATGATGGAAATTTCGGGGTTGGAATTTTTTTCTTTTAAATTGGAAAGGAGCATGTACTCCTGAAAAAAAAGGGAGTAAAAATGAAGAAAAATTTCATGGTTTAGATTTCGGTATTTATCTTGGAAAGGTCCCAATGACACTCTTTAAGATGGGGAATTAACGAAGAAGGAAAACATTCATGGTTGAGATGCGTCCAACACTCCCAGCCTCTTGTATTTAGGTATGCTGGTCTCACTGTTGTATTTGTTTACTGTTGCATACATCAGAGTTCGTTAGTTTTTTTTTTTTTTTTTTAAATTCTGGAATCTCTATGTTCATTCATGTCCAATAAACCACTGAGCTTTGAAACCCAATTTTTGCAAACCAATCTTTGGACTTTTTACCTACAAAACTTTTGGAAAGAGGAAGCTAGATCGTGGCTCCAATGGTCATGAGTATTCTAAAACTAACAAGCTAAGGTGGATTATGGACAATAATTTGGTCTAATAGTCTAACACTGCTGCTGTTTAGTTGTCTGGATTGCATATGGATGGATTCCCATGTCAAATTCTGTCTGCAATTTAGACCTGAAAAATAAAGAGAAATCCTAAAATTAAGTTTCTTTTGAGATAAAATTTGAATTAAACGTTGGATGGACAACAACTATATAATGATACTATGGTTAGTTTGTCTTTCCCATGGGAGAGTACAAGGGACTTTGGATTTATTAATAGGGAATAGGGAGCAATAGACAAAATATAAGTAGGCTTGACTTTCTTCCGATGAAGTCTCCAAACATTTCTCTATTGCTCCTCATAGTTGAAGTAATGACAACAATTCTACTTGTTCTCCCTGCAGGGGTCTCCAACCGTTTTGTCAATACTTTCCGTCTTATTCAATTTCATTTGATATCATAAAAGTGTGATTCAGGATGTCATCGAAGTGAATTCTATAAATTTCTTAAGCAAGTTCCGCTACATGTGATATGCCCATTTTTTTCATATAGTGAATCAATTCTTTTATAGACGTAGAAGAAGATGAATAGTTTGTACCTGATCATATAGAGGGACCAGTTTAATGGGCTTTTATGTTCTCTTTTCATCCCTTTTTGGCATGCAAATGAATATTTGCTACCTTGACCTCTCTTTTTGTGTAGGAGGTCTATTAATATGATTGTCTTTCCTGCTTTCTTTTCCTGTTTAACTTTTTACTGTCAGGTTTATGCTTTCTGTCTGGCTTTTCAAAGTCATAATAGTCAAATGTTTTCCTGGATATCTCAGTAACTTGCCTTCAGATGCTCTGCTCCTGTTCCAATGTATGAAGCTAGCAAATGAAAAGCCAAATTCTGTCACTTTGGTTAAGTCGTTTTGTTATCATCAATCTGATCCGTTACATTTGTCATTATTTTTTCTGTATCTTCTTCCTAACTCTGTTCTTCATTTTTACTACTAATAGTTGTTACTTCAATTACTTTGTGTATTTTGCTGATTATGTTTCTTTGATCTTAACAATGATTAAAAACTGCTGACCCGGGTTGGAAATATGGGAAAAGAACAAGTGGGACCAATAGGGCCGCAGTTGAGTGTAACTTTTGTAAAAAAGTTACTAATGGCGGAATCTTTCGTCACAAACAACACCTGATTGGTACTTTCAAGGACGTCACACGGTGTGAACAGTGCCCGAATGCTGTAAGGGAAGAAATGAAAAAATATGTTGATGAAAAGAAGGAACAAAAACGTCAGGCTTTACTTCAATCGGATGTGACTAATATTGGTGATGATAAAGATGAAGATATTGAAGAAGGTGAAGCTACTGAATAGTTACTTCCTTCAAAATCATGAAAATAGTCATAGAATGCAATAATCATAGAACCATCATCTTCCTCAACTTCATCAACTAGGCATGTAGCTACTTCTTTTCCCGTCCTTTGTAAGCATTTAGTATTCCCCCTTAAACCATAATGGTTTCTATGATTGTTGCATTCTATGACTGTTTTCGTGATTTTGAAGGAAGTGACTATTTAGTAGCTTCACCTTCTTCCATATCTTCATCTTTATCATCACCACTATTAGTCACATCCGATTGAAGTAAAGCCTGACGTTTTTGTTCCTTCTTTTCATCAACATATTTTTTCATTTCTTCCCTTACAACATCCAGGCATTGTTCACATCGTGTGATGTCCTTGCAAGTACCAATCAGGTGTTGTTTGTGACGAAAGATTCCACCATTAGCAACTTTTTTACAAAAGTTACACTCAACTGCGGCCCTATTGGTCTCACTTGTTCTTTTCCCATATTTCCAACCCGGGTCAGCACTTTTTAATCGCTGTTAAGATCAAAGAAACATAATCAACAAGATAAACAAAGTAATTGAAGTAACAACTATTAGTAGTAAGAATGAAGAACAGAGTTTGGAAGAAGATACAGAAAAAATAATGACAAATGTATCAGATCAGTTGGGATATGACATTTGAGAGGAACTCCACAAATTGGTATACTTCTGGAAGAGGAAAAGTCGTGCTCTGTCAGAGCCACAAATTGGTATTCATCATGACCACTATCGTCTCTCCCAGTTCATATCATTATCTTCTTCAATATCCCTCCAATTCACCCGTACAATTTTTGATAATTCTCACATTATTCAATCAATCTTCGCATGGAACACAATGATGAGAGCATATTCCCAAGTAGAGTCTCTGAAGCTCTTTAAACAGTTTCAAAAAATCGGATTAAAACCAGATAAATTCACATTCCCTGTTGAGCTAAAGGTTTCTGGGCATTGTTTGATGATTGGAACTGGTGGATCATTGCATTCCATGGCTGTGAAGTCAGGTTTCGGTTAAGATTTACATGTGAACAATACACTTTTGAGAATGTATGCAGGATTTAGTACGATCAGGTTTGCAAGACAAGTGTTTTATGAAATGCTTGAGAGGGATATAGTTTCTTGGAGTTCAATGATGGCTGCTTATGTTCATTGGTATGTATATTTGTTTCAATTATTTGTCAAAAACACATGAATTATTTCTTCTATGCGAATTTCACACCCCAATTATCACAATCTATGTATTAGGGATCATATAGCTGACTTTAATTACTTGTGATTCAAGCATTATAGTAGTAATTGTTGTCTTATTATTTACAGTTTCTTCTTCTTCTTTCTCCTTTTGAAAGATATTTCATGTATCTACTGATTACTCTAGAATCAGTACATTATTTATGATATGTGAACCCGGCAAGTGTTGAAGGCTGGGAGATTCTATAACATTATGTGGAAGTTGTTTAAAATCATTATTATAATGGGAGTCAATAGAGTAGATTTTGAGCATGGCAAGTCAAGTATCGAGGAATTTGTAAAGGTTAATCGTCATTTGATAGGCCTGACACATAATAGGTCACAATTTTTATGAACAATGCTAGCTTGTAACCTTGTTCGTTATGCTTCAGAAATTTGGTGCCATGGTATTTATGGTTCTCTTGAACAGATATCTGTTATCTAATACTCTTGGTGAACTTTTTAAAATTTATCCCAGATGTCGATTGTGCATACTTGTTTTGTACCATAAGAAAAACCAGTATTACTATTACTTGGATATATTAGCTTGAATAAGGAGTTACAAAGTTGTTCACTAGTCTAACTTTTTCACTTTTTCCTTCTTGCTGCAATACTGCAATAGATTGTTTAACGATGCCTAGGCTTCATATCTGAAAGGATCAATAAGATTTTGAGCCTTTTAAATTGTGAAAGCTGCATACACTCCTAAATGATCAGGGATTAACAATGATGGAAATTTTCGAGGTTGGAATTTTTTCTTTTAAATTCGAAAGGAGCATGTACTCCTGAAAAATAAGGGAGTAAAAATGAAGAAAAAATTCATGGTTTAGATTTCGTTATTTATCTTGGAAAGGTCCCGATGATACTCTTTAAATTGGGAAATTAACAAAGAAGGAAAACTTTCATGGTTGAGATGCGTGCAACACTCCCAGCCTCTTGTATTTAGGTATGTTGGTCTCACTGCTGTATTTGTTTACTTTTGCATACATCAGAGCATGTTAGTTTTTTTTTTATTTCTGGAATCTCTATGTACATTCATGTCCAATAAACCACTGAGCTTTCAAACCCATTTTCCGCAAACCAATCTTTGGACCTTTTACCTACAAAACTTTTGGAAAGAGGAAGCTAGATCGTGGCTCCAATGGTCATGAGTATTCTAAAATTAACAAGCTAAGGTGGATTATGAACAGTAACTTGGTCTAATAGTCTATCACTGCTGCTGTTTAGTTGTCCAGATTGCATATGGATAGATTCTCATGTCAAATTCTGTCTGCAATTTAGATCTGAAAAATAAAGAGAAATCCAATAATTAAGTTTCTTTTGAGATAAACTTTGAATTAAATGTTGAAAGGACAACAACTTTATAATGATACTATGGTTAGTTTGTCTTTCCCATGGTAGAGTATAAGGGGCTTTGCATTTATAAATAGGGAATAGGGAGCAATAGACAAAATATAAGCAGGCCTGACTTTCTCCTGATGAAGTCTCCAAACATTTCGCTATTACTCCTCATAGTTGAAGTAATGAAAACGAATCTACTTGTTCTCCCTGCAGGGTCTCCAACCGTTTTGTCAATACTATCCCGTCATATTCAATTTCATTTGATATCATAAAAGTGTGATTCAGGATGTCAACTAAGTGAATTCTATAAATTTCTTAAGTCAAGTTCCGCTACATGTGATATGCTCATTTTTTTCATATAGTGAATCAATTCTTTTATAGACGTTGAGAACATGAATAGTTTGTACCTGATCATATAGAGTGACCTGTTTAATGGCTTTTATGTCGCTTTTCATCCCTTTTTGGCATGCAAATGAATATTTGCTACCTTGACCTCTCTTTTTGTGTAGGAGGTCTATTAATATGATTGTCTTTCCTGCTTTCTTTTCCTGTTTATCTTTTACTGTGAGGTTTTTGCTTTCTGTCTGGTTTTTCAAAGTCATAATAGTCAATGTTTTCGTAGATATCTCGGTAACTTGCCTTCAGATGCTCTGCTCCTGTTCCAATGTATGAAGCTAGCAAATGAAAAGCCAAATTTTGTCTCTTTTGTTAGCTTGCTGGGGGCATGTACTCATATCCTGAATATCAGATTAGGTAAATGTATTCACTTGCACATTGTTACCAGTGGTATTGAACTACATGTTGAGCTGGGAACAACCCTCCTGGGCATGTATGCAAAATGTGGTCATATACAGCAGGCTTTCCGCATATTCAATTCGATGGATGATAAAAATCTGCAGACCTGGACCATCATGATTTCTGGTCTTACTGATCATGGACATGAGGAAGAAGTTGTGTCCTTGTTTGCCAGAATGGAAGAATCTGGCTTTAGGCCGGACAGCTTATCATTTTCTGCAATCTTATATGCTTGTAGTCATATTGGCTTTGTTGATGCGGGCCGTGAATATTTTGAAAAAATGGGAGGTTTTTATGACATCAGGTCAACTATGGAACATTACGGATGCATGGTGGATATGTTTGGACGTGCTGGAGAATTAGAAGAAGCTTATGATATTATAAGGAGCATGCCTACAGAGCCTAATTCTGTGATATTGAGGAGTTTCATTAGTGCTTGTAAGCATCATGGTCATATTCCTTGCGCATAAGAAAATATAAGTGAGATTCTCCTCAAAATAGAGCCTGATCTCGGATCAAACTATGTACTTGCATCTAGTTTGTCTTATCTTTTTGGTTATTTCAGCGATGCGAACAACCTAAGATCGGCTATGAAAGCAAAAGGGATAAAGAAATATCCTGGCAGCAGTTGGGTGCAGTCGCTTGATAGTCCTTCCGAAGGAAGCAGTTGAAGGATCTGGTAGTAATGTTTCTGTTTATGCCAATAGAAGAGGCAATTCAGATCACAGGAATGAAGGAATGAAGGGACTGTTACATGCCAAAGACGAAAGAACACTATCAATGGTGGAGGAAAATGAATTGCTTCTTTTTGGGTAATACCACCAGGCTGAGGTACACGTTTAGGGGAGTTGTTGCTTTGACCATTGGAAGAGGGTCACACTGAAGTTCCTAACATTCTTGCATAATTTTGAATAACTTGAAAAATGAATATTACATTGTGAAGTGATTTTAATTTGTAGCTCATGGGATATGACATTTGAGAGGAACTCCACAAATTGGTATACTTCTGGAAGAGGAAAAGTCGTGCTCTGTCAGAGCCACAACTCTGTTATCCTTCTCAAATTATTTCTAACAGTCAATCATGCCTAGATATTGGACTAGTTGGGATCAGCTTTATGAGTCTCCTATATCCATTCTACCTTATTTGGGGCCATTCTTTTCTATACTGGTAAATGATTTGTTTTCTCCATAAACTACTCTTTCTTTTCAAAATATATGGTTAAGGTTAATCTTGGAATTCTATTCAGAAGTTGGGATGCCCTTAAAGTGGCAACTCAGCATGGCCTGAAACTTTGGTTAAAAACTATGAGGTATTCCCATGGGGAAACAAATTCAAAATCTTTTATGAATGTCAAGACTCAAGTCCTTTGCCTTGAGATCTGGAAATTTAAATTAAACCAAATGGTATCTTCATTTATCTGGTAGTTTAACTGTAATTTCTGAAAGGAAGGAGAAGAAAGCAGTGAACATATCATGCTGGAGTAGTTTTTATTGTAAGCAAAATATGGAAAACGAAGCTTTGGTAGTTGTACTACTCAAAGTAGCAAGTACATTTGGGTTGATATAATCTATGAAAAGAGAGCATGGAAAATCATCTGACTTCCATTGCACCTGCATCAACATGTGTCTGCTTTTAAGTTATTCCCCTAAATGCTTTGAAAGTACAATCACTCACACATCCATTTGCATGTTATTTTTTGGAGCTTGACTTGAAGCCATCAGGAAAGGTTCATGCTCTGTGTACTCTGTAGCTGTCGATCCTCCATGTCCTTCACATTCCATAATTTTGGTATGACTAAGCTTTTCTTAGAATACTCAACCGCCATGGGTTAGTGAGGTAACTGTGGATATTTATCACAACAGAAAAGAACCACTTGACTGAAATCCATATTCAATATTTAATTAACGTTCTGGTCTCATTTGCTTAATCTTATGGATCCATTCATTTGTATAATGCTGTTAATGCCAATATCAAATGAACCTAGCTTGGTGGAAACCTCTTCGCTGTGTATTAGATCACTTGCATATGAAAAAATTTCGAGCTTCCTATTAGTTCATGAACAATATACCGTACTGGATTGCTAATGTATTTCATCTGAGATCATCCAGCACTCTACATTATTGGAAGCAGCTAGCCTGTGATCTCAAGCTGATCCTGTCTTGTTGTCAATCATTTTGAAGACTTCTCCTCATTTGAATGGTGACGATCCTTATATGAGATGAGATATGAAAAGTTATTCACGCATGTTAGAAAGGTTGAGCTAGCTGGGACGTGAAGAAGGTGATCTATCAACATGGAGAACCTGACATCTGGTGGAGCCGCGTGAAGAAATTAGAGAATCTCTAGAAGGTATGTCTATATGTTAGAATGGGGTTCTATCCACAAGGAAAAACAATCAGCAAATCTCTAAACAACCATTATCATTGTTTAACATGGCATAAATTCAATTGTTTTACCATTGATATACTGGTGTATCAATTCATGTTTCTCGAATATGCATTAGGTTTTTGATGTATGAGATACATTACATCTTGTTTTCTTCCGAAAAAGGCATTCTGATTAATTATTAATCAAAGGAATGTTTTTAGTAGATCATGAATTAAAGATGGGGGGATCTATTTTCCACTCCATAGCATTAGACATAGAACCTAAAGCCCGAGCTAGCTAATGGGCACATTGGTTCGCTGGTAAAAGACGAGGAATTAGAAGTAAAGCCACACATGAGTGCCATACAATCTTGAATAATAATATAAAAAAAAACTAGGAGTTGTTGTAAGATTTTTCTGATCAATCTCCACAATACTTGTTATTGATGAAAAATGTTCCTTTAGCGAGCTTACTGCTTCTCGAACACCCAAAGCCTCAACCACATGGGAGTTATGAGGCGTATCTAATCAACTAGAGTGACCTCTCATGAAGTTTCCATGAGAATCACGGACTAGCATGTCTGACTCTGCTCCTACCAAAGTAAGGTCAAAAGAAGCATCAAGGTTTCACTTGAGGATATTCTCATTAGGAGGAAACAATCTAATTGTACCAAACCCTAACTCGGGACTCCGACTCGAGTCTCAACCCTGAACCAAGATTCTTAGCCTGACTCGAAATCTAAACCTAACTCAAGATTCGAGCCTTGAGACCTAGGATCTAAGCCCCAATCCTCGGCCTCGACCTAGTTACTAGGACACGACACCCAAAACTTGATCCTGACCCAAGCCTCGAGGCCTAAACCACGAGACCCACCCTTCGACACTAACTCGAGATTCAACTAGGAACTCAAGCACTTATCCTCTAGAAAGATTCGATATCTAACTCTGACCTTAACCCGAGACCCAATCCACGAGATTTGAAACCTAAAACCTAACCTTTAGTCGCGACTAGATCTCGAGACTCGACCCCGATCCATATTAAAAATCAACGTGAAGTTTTAGCAGGAAACCTAAATTAAAGTAAATCTTTAAAATGTGCTAGAGTTTGACAAAATTTAGAGATCAAGTTACAAATGAGTTATTTTGGTTAGATTAAGAGGGTCAACTCGATATGAAGTTATCTTGTGCTCAAGATTTTGGGTGAATTAGGTGGACCACCAATTTTCAGGCCATATTTGACACCGGTATGTAAGTGTGTGGACCAAAAAATGGGCTAAATTATATGATTATTCCCCAGAAACTCTATTTACTTCAAGGAATACTTTATTATTTCTACTAGTAATATAATAAGAGGTTAGGAAGCAGGTCATGGACGACATGCCTGTTTCTAGATGAGGGCAAGGCAGTAATTTTCTACTTGGTTGTGTGTTTTTGTCATGACCCAAAATCGGATGTGATGGCACTTGGCTTATCCCACCAAGACAGGTTAGCCTAAACCCAAATACGATAAGGTGAATGTGGAAGTTTAAACAAAATAAGGAACCAAGTATAACACAAACATGCAGAAACATAATATAACTCAAAATACCCCCAAAACCTAGTGTCACGTGTACAAGCCTCTAAGTATTACAATAGATTCAAAGAAGTACAAGTCTAAATGTCTTTGTTGCTAGAGCAGAAAAAGAACATAATAAAACAGTAAGAGGTTTTCGCCGATATGATAAACAACTACCTCAGAACTCTCCATAGTAAGCCTCAGATGTAAAAGAGAAGAAGGAATAATCACGATGATCCGGGCTCGTACCCTACACAAGTGTAGAAGCAAGAGAGTGAGTACCAAACAACATGGTACTCAACAAATAAACGACTAACTCAAGGTAAAGCAATACAGAATACATGTATTCCCAACACTCCAACCGAACCTCCACAACTACAACCTGCACATAATCAGTCCAACCTAACAACTCACATTTATATAGAACATAAACATGTATAGCAACACTTTAAATGTATACAGGTCACCAATACAGAAGTTCATGTTCATCAACCACAAGTTCCATAACAAGCACTCACAAGTCACAAGGTCTACAAACGGTAATGATGTGCAATGTAATGAAATTAAATGTCAAATATAATAATGCATGTCTTTCATAACGATACACACCCATTGAATATCAGGCAAGGACCCATGGGGGACTCACAAGGTCCATGTATTCGCTAGAATCATTTTCCCTCGGCATAGTCATCAATCAGTGGAACTATTTCCCCTCGACATAATTATCAAAATAAGTCTCAACACAATGTTTCAGAACAATGCAAATAGGCATGTTCACACAAAAATGAGAAGATGGCAATTTCCATATCAATACAAAATCCATATCAACACAATCATGATACATCATCAATAATGAATCAAGATAATCTTTCAAATCACCCACAACACATAACACATCATTATACCATCAAGTTGCGTTTTATTTCCCATTTTCATCACTAGAATCATTCGGTATGAATATGTGACCACAAATATCAAACCCTTCACCACTTCCGATTACTACCCAACACATACAATAAGGGATACACGATTCTATATACTAAACAAAGGGTCAAAAAGTCCACATGTCTCGAACAAACAATCAATCACCCCTGCACTTGAGTTTTCCCTTCAGGTAGAGCCACATAATCCACACCAACTAATGAAATATAGAATACCCATAAGAAAATATGAACAACAACACATATAATGCTGATTTTGAAAATTTGGTCCGTAATGACCCAAAAAGTCAATCCTGAGGGCTAGGGTCAAATACAGAATTTTGTAAGAAATCATGGTACCCAAAGATTTTAGAACTCATTAGTGAAAACCACATTGAAAAATGAGTTGAAATCATGCTCAAAATTCTAATTACTTAGAACACAAGTTCATGAGAAAAACTCCCAAAACTCGGATCCGAAACTCCAACTTAAATCTGAAATATTTTTTAAAACAGATCTTACCCATGCTTAGGAAAGTTCTACTATGAATCTTCCGACTTAATTCTGGAAAGGATATTTCAGACTCAATCAAATCATCAAAACACCCAAAAAAGGTCACCTTAACCCAATGTTGACCAAATTCAACTTTAACTTAAGAATATTCAAATTTCCAAATAATGACAGGAAACTCATCCAAAAGTTTTGGGAACTAAACCAAACCTTCAACTAGACCAAATATCCCCATTTAGACCTAGTGGAATCATTAAGACTAAAAAATGACCTTTCTAACCTCAAACGTTAACTAAAGTTAAACTTTAGCCTTCACTTTCTCCATATCTCGTCTAATGGCTCAAAATCAAACCAAAAGACTTGAGACTCAAACCAACAATACAACTAGACCAAAGACCACATTTCGGAGCTACTGGAGCTGTCAGAATTCCATTCCGAGCTTGCTATCACCAAATGTTGACTTT